TAGTCCTTTTGCTGAACACATTTTTTCAGTATTTTTTTTTTTTTGCATTTATCACTTCAGACTCTTTCTTAAAGACATTGTGAAGTGCCTGGGAAGAGAAGGGTGCGGACTCGGTGTTATTTTGTACCTCGGCAGCCTCTGTCGCTGCACTTTTCTCTTTTTTTTCCGATTCTTTTTCTCCCTCTTCTTCGTGCTCCCTTTCACCATCCTCGCTCTCGCTCTTCTCATCCTTTTCTCCTTCCTCCGCTCCGTCATTGTCTTTTGGGAGGGTGGAATCGCTGTCTGGTCCTGGGGAAGATAAAGCCTCCGTGGTAGCGAGCACGGGCCTGGCTGACTGTTTGCTGGTAGAAGCAGCAGTCGGAAGCCGGGTCGGCCACACAGTACTAGGAAAAGAGGAAATACCGCCACCGCTAAAGCCCAGGCCGGCAAGCAGCGTGCTGGTCACCACAGAAGCCACCGTGGCTTGGCTCCCGCTGGAGGAAGGTCCCATTCCTGTTGCCATTGAAACAAAGGAGAAGGGAAGGCCAGAGGAAGTCCAGGTAGAAGATCCAGAACTGATGGGAGCCATGTCAGCGGAGGAAGCAGGAGAAGCTGTAGGCTTGAAGAGGTCACCAGGAGGGGCAAGGGAAGAAAACACAGCAGAGAGAGCATCAGTAGGGGTACCTGATATGCTACCTCGGGCCATTTTTCCTTTTGTTTTCTTTCTCTTTTTCTTTCCATTCTGCTCATTACTCTGTTCAAATGAGACAAGTAAATTTATACAAACTGGAGTAAGATCCACCCCACAACAGCACAAGTACAAGAGTCACAAAGTAAAATAACGATGAGAGCAGACTTTCCCCGGGTCCAAAATATGAATCACACCAATGGGTCTTTATTTTTATCTTCACCCTCCCACCTCGAGCTGCTTTTGAGCAGGGTTTCCCTTTTGGGGTGGGAACACATTTGAGAAGGTTTAAACAAGTGCAGCTTTGCCCGTTGCAGCTCTTTAAACCTGGCCATGCAGAAGTCTAAAGCTTCAGGGTTGCATCTACACGAGACGCTTACTGCGCATTAGAGCATCACCACACAAACCGTGCTAATAGCCTGCTGCACCGTGTTATCAGGCTAATGCACAGTAAGTGTCACTAAATAATTGTGTGCCGGCACTAACTTTAGGTGCTGAGCATTTAGTTAGTACTTTATTAAGGATGTACTAAACCAAGGTGCATTAATGAACATGTAGATGCACCCAAGATGACGTAAGTGGCCACCCAAAATAACAACTGAGTTGCTAAGGTGTAGGAGTAGGTGCTGCAGCAGCCACCTATGCTCCCGGATTTGGGAGTGAACAGGAGGTCACGGGGGTGCCGGGACCCTCCCACTGAGACCCGGTCAGTGGGACTGCAGCCTCCGTTGGCATCGTGTTCAGCGAGGCTGGTCTGCACCACATAGCTCATCCTAAGGTTTGGCACTACGGCCAGCTAGGCATCGTCTTCTTGGAAAAGATCCCCATTGCATGCCTGGAAGAGTGCCCGTATGGGACAGTAGGAGGGTGGAAGGGGTCTCCCTCCTGCCCCGAGCTGGCTCCCATCAGTGCCAGCCCTTAGCAACCACCACCAAGTTGCTACCTCCTAACCCACGCAGCTCTCTGCCCCCACTGCAAGCACAGCCGAGCCAGAACAAAGGGCTGGCACAACTTGCTTTCCCAGCGGAGCCGCGGGAGGGAAAAGCAGGGGCTGAATTGCAACTCAGAGCTTCAGCTCTGCACTGCCTGCGCTCAGGCTGGACTGTAGGGTGCTGGTGACCGTTCTCCAACCCCATCACCTTGCCTATTCTAAATAAAAATGGAAGATGCATTCAAAAAAGAGCCTCGTGAGCTAAGCTGAATGTCTGGAGGGGCCTAAGCTACACCTGGGAAAAGGCAGATGGTGAAGTCATGTCCAAAGACACGAGCTAATCCTGTGGAGGAGCTGGGTTTTACACTCCCTGCTCAGGCCACGCGGCCTCCCTGATTTAGGAAACATGCTTCTTGTTACTAATTCAAGTGACAAAAATAAAGCAGGGGCTACAGGAGGGAAGGGCAGATGGGGCAGAAAGAGGAGCATCAAACCAGAAAGCATCTCAAAGCCTAAATATCTTTTTGGAATTTGGAAGAAGTTCGGTAGTTGAAGGATACTTCCCTTTCCCTCTGCAATTCAGGCAGGCCAGTGAGCTAGAAAGCTGCAGCACAATAAGAAAGGCTGCTCGCTCATGCTGTTTCTGCCATCACAAAGAACTTGAGATCTCCAGAGAAACTCTGTTCGCTGGAGATTTCCAGCCTGAACTTTAAATAAGCCTCTGAATTTTGGGAGGCTGCTCCATCTGAATTCTCTGCAGCTCTGTGAGATTTGCCTTTTTCTGGCAGACGTGTTTCATCTCCAAGCTGGGCTGCAGAATTACAATCTGACCGCACATTTTGCACGTCTAGTGCACCTCTGCATCATTAGAGATGTTAATCACTCTTAATCAAGAGCTGCATGCATGTTACTGGCATAGTAGCAGCTTGTTACCATTCATGAAGCCAGGACTAAAGCACTTGGGGCAAGAGCCATAGAGGTACATTAGATGTTTTCAAATTTAGGTATGGCAACACCTAAAAATGAGGCCCTGACCCTTGGTTCAAAGGAACAAGGTTAGGCATATGGGCTCCCAGCGCTGTCTCAGGGACAGCTGGATGGATCTGAAGGGAGGCGCAGAGCTGCCAGACACTGAGCTAGACAGTAAGAAACATGGAGTCCAGGAGTTTGACTGGACACCCGCCTTTCTCAGGAGCTTACAGTTCCTTTTGCAAGCCAGCGCCCCGAGCATGCACTGCAGGACAGACTCACACGGGTCCTCGCAGCCCCTGGGGATGGCACACTGGGCGCTGAACTGGTCACTTCTCTTGGGGCCATGGGTGGGTTGCTCTGCTGCATACTGGGATGCCAAAAAAGCTTGGCAAGAGTTACACTTGCATCTCCAAGGCTGCTCTGGTGCAGGGGTTGGTGCCTTGGGGAACCCAGGGAACTCTGCCATCCCCGAATGAGTGCAGCTGCCTCCAGGGTTAAGTGTCTGCTGAACCAGGGGCTCCTAGATCCCATTTTTGGACTCAGCCCCTGGAATCCAGCTACGTGCCATTTTTAGATACCAAAATACTTCCCTGGATCTCAGCCTTAGAGCACATGTTAGACCAGTACGAGGTCAGTCCGGAAATGTGATCAACATTCAAAACACTGACGGCCAGGACTTTCTGGGGACTGAAGGCTAACCGTACCCAACTCTGAAACTGCGCATGCATGCCCTCGAGCTGCACAACATCAATTTGTTGCATTTTCTGCCTTTGGAATACAAAACTAAGTGCCGCTAGCAGATGCTTACAGCTGCGAGTAATACAAATTAAAAAAATGTAAATGAAGAGCTTGCTGAGGTCTAATTTACGTGTCAGTAGATATTTTTACAGTGCTGGGAAACAGCGATCACCATATGACAAACCACTGTATGCATCTCTGTGCCTTTGTTATTAAAGGAAATGGAGCACAGCCTCACTCTCAGGGCTAGGATTACATACTAAAAAAACCCAAAAAACCCCTTCAAAAACCTGCCTGGACTTTTTTTCCTTGTGGGTGAAAAGTTTCTCAGACTCCAGAGCTATAAAGGTAGAAACTTTGAATCTCTGAATTGGGCTATTAAAGCTTTTGCTTAGGGTCTAAGTAACAAAACACCTTCCAAAACTGCAGTGGTGTGGTATATTCACAACATCCTGCTGCCACCTAGCGGGCGTGATGCCGCACTTTGCCAGGGCTTGTAAATAATTTGCTGCAATGATTTATGTCTCCAACTTACCACTCCTGTTTTTACAATTCTGGTCCCCTCAAAAATTCGAGTTGTGTTAGCTGGGGAAACAAAGAAGAAACACTGTTCAGCACATTATGAAGGCAAATGGTACAACGTGAAGCTGCTGAAATGCAATTCTTGCTACAACATTTCTTGGCAAGTGGAGACAGCCTAAAACTTCGTACACTAGAGAGCCATTGCTATCAAGCCCGCTGACAGATGACTATGGGGAAGAGAGGCAGTCACAGGCTGGGAACCAAACACTAGTAGAAAATCCCAGAAGCGGCCTGCTTTGCATAGCTAAGTCCTTCAGGCCTCAAATACACCACTGGTAAATCCAGAGTAAATTCGGGATTTTCAGACACCGTTGCCTGAAGATACTCACCTAAAACCATAGCCATGCTGGCATGCAAATCTGTGCATCTCACTTTACCCACTCAGCCTTTTTAGCTTTGAAAGTGGCAGCTTTAATGCACTGATTGAGGAACGATATGATCTTGCTCAACCACACATCAGGTGAAATTATATGGTTTGCTTGTACAGGGATCATCATAGTCGCTTTCTGGCCTCAAAATATATTAAACCATTGTTTATTGCAACTTATTCTCATACAGCAGTAATCTGAACCTGGTCCCTGGTATTTAGAATTAATATTAGAGTGTCTGAGTTTCATTAACTGGACTGACATTATATTTACTTCTCTAAACAGTAGGAAGATTTGCATCCCAGAGCTGTCGGTTTGTGACAGCATGGAAGAGGCAGGCAGAAATACGCACCAGGCTCTTTTGTAATTATTGTTTGTACTTAGGTACATATATCAGTGTTTGGCTGAGACTGCTTTGTGCAAATGATGGATTTAGAATTTTTTTTTTAAATCCTTTAAAACGGGGCCCACAATCATACACATTTTTACATTAGTTCCTATTGATAATTAAAAATCTGTACAGGGTGCCCATTGTCTAACAAACCAAATAATGATATTTTATTAACTATTTAAATCAGCAGATTCCACCTCCAGCTCTTACCACCAGTCAGAGTTTGCTACCACGTTAAGTTTCTGGCAGGACGCGCTTCCTAGCAGTGAAGACCGTGCCAAGAAGTGAAACGCAGAATGTGAAGAAACAGGAAGTGGGATTATTTTAAAACGTTGATCCTGGCACCAGTCTAAAATCGGAGGCACATTTCATTTTTTGGGCAAAGCAGAGGAGCACAAATAAACTTCCATGGTAGCATCTGCTTATCGACAGCAGAGCAGACCCCGACGTGGAACGGGCACGGCTGGTAACGTAGAGGGGCTTTTCTGCTGAGATCTAGTGGGCATCACAGTCAAGGTGCGCAAGACCAGTCCCTTTTATCCTCTGCTTAAAGCCCACTGGGATCCAAATTTCTGATTCTGGCTCTCTGTCAAGCTGCCCTTGCAAAGCCACAGGCAAGATCCGGGTACCTCAGCTACCATGGTGATAAGGCAGCATAAAAGATGCTGATTAGATATGATAGCTCTTGCCTGGCACCCTGCTCTCCCCCGATGTTGGTGAGAACACAGTGCTTGCTGGAGGAGTCTGACGCAGAGTGAATTGTGTCCACTGCCCGACTTCTCATAGACTGCTTCAGCTGTTAAGGACTGTCAGATTAACCATGTCTGAAACCTCCCTGTTCTCCAAAGGTCACTCTTAAAAATGTCTCTGTTAATTTGTTCAGTAGATTACATCTGACTCCAGTGATTTAACACTTTGCTTTTCTTGAGAGCTAGCCCTTGGCAGATGGTGCTTCACTTCTGCCTTGCTAAGTCTCTCTCCTGTGCAAAGGTGCCCACCGTGGAGGGATCTGTGCTTTCTATGCCACCTCCAGAAAACAAAGTGAGCAGTGGACAACAGTGGAAGTGTTAGCAGTTTTGCTTTAAAGTTAAAAAAAAGGAAACCTCTGCCACTTGAAAGGCCTCTCTATGATCTCACACTGATGACATGGCACCAGAATAACGTGGCAGCAGCTGATGGAGGAGGGCTCCATGGGCACTTCTACTCCTGATTTATATTTGTGTTTGGGGAGTCAATGAGATGGTGCACAGCAGATAGGCACAGGGCTGCCTTGGCCAGGCTGCATCTTCTGTCATCCTTCACCCCCTACAAACACTAGCCAGGCCTCACCCTTGCTACGTGAGGAATGCAGCTGCAGGAATTCCTATTGCACAGCAGCAAACCCTGCTAGATTTGATTTATTTGCTAAAGTAATTAGCCAGGGGCTGATTTAAAAAAAAAAAAAGCTGCAGCATTTTTATGCTCAGATTTCCAAAATATGCTGATCAGCACTCTCTAAGCTCATATACACCATTTCAAAAATAGCAATTAGACCAGATTTACACACACACACACACACACACACACACACACACACACACACAGAGGTTAGTACCAGGAAGGGCTTGTTGTATTCATCAAATCCAAGGTTCTCAATCCTGTGGAAAACCTGGGCTCAATAAATGGGCCTTGCAGGATTATTAAATCCAGGTTTTGACGAGCTAGAAAGGGGAAGCAATTGCAGAAGCTGACAACCTGTCCCCAAAAGAGACACTGCAAGGAAAGTCCCATTCATCTGAATAAGAGTTTTACTAACTCCAGTGGCTGATGTCAGGAAATCAGTGCTGTTTAGAAACACTCAAACTGCTGGTAAAATTATTCCACATAGACAGGGAGGGCAGCAAGGAGAACGTTAAACAGAGAAAAAAGAGCCATGTCATTTGAAAAGGAATTTGTTTTTTTACCTTGGAAAAGCATTGTCTGGCTAAAGTCACTACGCATGTCATTTCGGCACACTGCTTGAACTCTGAACAGATAAAGGATGTCAGGTGAGACATGGCTAATGATGGCTTTCTGTTTAAAAAAAATAGATGTTATTCAGTTTTTTTCCCCCCACAAGGACTCTGCATGATCAATTTGTTACATATAGAGCATGGCGCTAACACAGAATTTACATGGCACACGGGGCAAACTTATGTCTAACAGGGAGCCTTCAAACCTGTGCAGAGCACCCGGTCAAGGACGTGGGACGCGGGCAGCGCACAGAGCTCACGCTGCCTCTCCAGACAAGGGAGAAGTTGCAAAGTGCATTCGCCCCTGCGCTACCTTTCACTTCGTGTGTGCTGCTCTTCCCCCTGCTCTGAGAAACTGCAAATAAGGTACCTGACCTTTTACAAATGAAAATCGAAGTTCTGTACTGGGAAGGGGCAATTCTCATTGATCCCCTTCTACAGTAACAGCCAGCGCAGTATTGAGGCCAGGAGCTTCGTTTTGCAGTAACAGCAACAGTTGTGGCAGCTTCCTGCATGCAGTGACGATGGAAGATTGCCACCCGTGGCCACGCCGGAAATCATCTTCCAGTCCCTCCCGCAAAGGAGGTGTTTGCACAGGCATGCTACTGCATCAAAGGGGCTGCTCTGCTATGCAGCCGCTCCTCCATGTGCTCCGTGGCCCCCATGAACAGCCCATGCCTGCCTGAGAGTGATGAGCATCGACCACGCTGCATCCCCAGGCTTGCAATGCTAGCGCACTTTTTACTACTGCACAGTCCAGTCTAGCCTAAGACATAGCAGGTAATTGGATTTCCCTAATTGTCTCTTCCACAATCCTTTGAGAGCAAATTGTTTCACTGTCAAAGGGTGTTTATCTGTTGTGGCTTTCACCCGTGCTCCTCAACTAAATGAGGGCTGTGTCTGTCACCTATGACCCCACTCTCCGGCCGGGGGACTTAGGGCAACTCACTTCAGGCTAGCCCTTCATTGCATTCTCTGCACATTTAATTTTTTTTTTTTTTTTTTTACATAAAACTAGACATTGTATTTGTCCCTGAATCGTTTTTGCCGATTAATGCACTCCATCCTGATTGCTGATAAAAAAAAAAAAAAAAATCTCCCTTAAGAGCATGACGTTATGACAAGGGAGAGGTTATAATACATCATAACCTTGGGTGTCTTTCAATAGATTCCTCTCTGATTTCGTGAAGCACATCATTCCCTAATGTGACCCAGATAACAATGTCTAGTGGGGAAATTGAAAATATAAATGGAAATGAAGTAAAAGAATCTTCATCTAAGGGAATAAGAGAAGTATTATTCTATAACTGATTGAATGGGCCCAGAGGACTGTGTATTTCCAAAAAAAATGATAACAGTCATTAGGAATTTCACTCTCTGCTGCTGCATTTTTCATGTGCATATACAATTACTGATTTCATTATTGCAGAGCCTTTCTTTGATTAACAATAAACTGGCCTTTCAAACCTGAATATGTCACTTTGATTTTATATGCAGAGAATGTTAAAAGACTAGTGGAAGCAAGGACTGCACTTGGACAAGAATGACAAAGATCCAGTCCCAAATGGAGGGGACGGCTTGGTATTTCTGTCTCTGCCGGAAAGGTTTGGCCTCTCTCCGAGACTCCTCTGATCAGCAGCTGAGGAATCTCAAGCACTTCCTTTTTTGCCAGTGGAGTGAAGGCCACTGTACACTCAGCACCTAGACCTTGCCCTTGCCTTGCTACCCAGGGAGTGCTTACTAGGAGACAGTCCCGATGGACTTCAATTAAGTATTGCACAGTGGTAGGCTCTAGCCCAGCAAGTCACTTTTCAGGATCAGGCCTTTACTTTGGAGATCTATGAACTGAACACCAGCCAAAAGGTTTTCAGAGTGGTTTCAAGCTAGAGTCCCCAGCACATGGAAAGGAATTTGCCAACCTCTTTCCTTTTATGCTCATGCCAGCTTATTCATACCGGTGTCCTGGGGAGACTGGTCTGCAGCATTCAACAAATGCCGAGTCTTCTAATATAACGAATACAAATGAAAACCTAACCTTTCACTCCTGCAACCAACACTCTCCTACCCTACCTCTTCCTACTGAGAACGATACAGTGAAAGAGTTGCTTAAGACTAATGGCAATAGCTGATGCTGTAGTTTTACCAGGTCCTTGTCACTGTCCTTGGTGAAAGTCTTCTCCTTTTCATCTTCATTTTTAGTCCAGCTGTAGGAAATCATATAGTTCACAATGGGAGGGTGGTAGATAATCTCAGGTTGGTTCCAGGTCACTAGCAAGGCAGTTTTGTTCACAGGCTGAACTTTCATGTTGACAGGTGGAGTACTGCAAGCTAAAAGAAAAGGGGACAAGTATGAAACGCTGCACCACTCGCTGCAGGAAAGGAACATCAGGGAACCTGGCTTGTGAAATGTGTGGTCTTTTTGCAAACTAGTTAGGTTGCAAATGGTTTTGGAGCATGCACAAAACCTCCAGTCCTAACATCCGCACGCATACCCTAGCTGCATAACTTTCAGAGCTCTGCACGCATGCACATGCAAGTCCACACGTGGCATTACAAATCCAGAACTCTGCTTCCTTGGACCAGAGCTTCCTAATGTATACAACAGACTTCATAATCATCCTCTGCCTTGCAGGACGGCGAAGTGGGTTCTTTTCAACCCATTAGCAGATGAGAAACTAAGAGTCTTTCACACTCCCCACCCTAGGTTTCCCTGAAAAGCTTCTCAGTTGTCTTGTCTTTCAAATACCATAGTAGAAAAGAAGAGCACGGCTGTTACAGGACCCTCATCTGCACACCCTCCCACTCCCCCCACAACCAACTTCTCTGCCAGACAGTGCTGGGATAGCGCGTGGAGATGCCGACTTGACTAACCCGAGCCACCTCTACCTGGAAGCTGTGGCTTTTGTCACCTACTTGGGACTTAAAGATGCTAGAGGTTGCGGTGTGTTCAGAGCAGTCTGGGGGTTGACGTGTGCCTGCACACAGGGATCGGGGGTGAGGAGACAGGTGAGGACATCTTGGGAACCTTTCCCCCAGAGGAAGAAATGCCAAGCATCTTCTTATCCCAAAAGCCAACCAATGCCCATTCCAGGAAGACTGAGTCTGGCCACTAACCCAGTGAATCTGTTTAGAGCAGGAACAAATTAAGAGGTCCCCCAATGACCAACGAAAATGTTTTTCAAGTAAGCAAAATGCGAAGGCAAATATACTAATGGGGAACACTAGATGGCACTAATATGCTATCAATAAAGTCCGCACAGTTTTCCTTTTACAAGGCCTTTATATTTCCCGCAGCTTTAAAAGTCATGATTTAAATGTGTAATTCTGGACAGATTCTCACTCCCCGTCTTGGAAGCCAAACCCTGAGCCGGGAAGAACGGCATACAGAAGGTACCTCAAAGCATGCAAGGACCTGGCCTTCAGTGATGGCAAAGACTCCACTTTGCTAGCCACGGCTGTTCTTCCTTCTCTGACTGCCCATTTCAAGTCCGCGCAGCTGCCATCCATTTGCTTTGTGTGCGTGTGCATGAGTGTGTGCACGTGTGTGCATGTGCGACTACAGAAGAACCTGTGCTGCACTAAGACTTCCTAAGTGCTGGTTTCCACCTTGTCCTTGTAACATTTTAAACAAGCACCTACCGTTCGTGGATAAAAATGGGCTCTGAACGATTAAACGCCTTAAACACTAGTATTACCACAGTAATGGGCATGTTCGGTGCACTCTGTGCACTTGTAATCCGTCTTTCATAGGAAATCCACAGACAGTGAGAAAACAGAATAACATCTTCTCATGGAAAGATTTCTGGAGAGGGAAGAAACGTGACATTTGCCCCTTTTGTGAGCGGAGTTTGCTGCATGCCCGTACCTATCCCCTGCCGAAGCCACGGGTGGGAGAAACCCCCTGCACTTTCATGCACGATTTATTTACTTACCGACAGAATAAAAATCCTATTTCTTTGAAGAGCGGTGGCCACAACTGCCCTCTCCTGGCACTGCCACTTCCAGGAACCCTTCCACCCAGTCTGCAGCCAAGACGCAGCTCCTGTCTCCCTCCCCCTTGGCCACCGTCTCTTTACGCTGAGCACGTGCCTCTTCTCTCCGGCTTGTGCCCTGTACTTTCCACCTAGGAAACTGCTTGCTCCAAAATGTTTTCCCACTACTGCCAGGAGCTCACACGCCTGATGCTACCTGGGGACTAATCTGGTGGACATGGTACTAAGTCTCTCCTTCTGAAGTTGTTCTTGGACACAGCAAAACCTTTGGCGGGTCTCATGATGCCACTGTGACCACCTGGGATGTGGATGCTGCAGGTCATCCCATGCAGAATTGCAGAGACCTGGGGACCACTTTCTCTCTGCTCATGCCTGTCTATGGAGATTTCTCTCTCATCACAGCCTCCTCATTGATCCTTTTGCCATAACAGCAATGCAAGACTTGGTTCAACACAAAGGCCAAGGGAGCCAGGAACAGCACAAAAGCAGCACGCTCAGATCTCGGTCAGGCCCTGCTGCAAGCGTGGACGTGCCCTGCTACTCTTCTGAGTCTCGGGGTCTGCCGCCAGCCCGCCCAAGCTCCTCTCGGTCCCAGTGCTAGCCCCAAGCAAATGCAGCACAAGTACGACTCTCCATGGATACCTCTGATGCACGTGCTGAAATGTTTGCTCTGACTGGGGCCATGGAGGAGTCTGTAAAGACCTAGGAAGGTGAGTGAATTCACAATGCCACATTTCAAAGTAAATAAGGTTCATAATGTTTATGATTTAATAGAACAATGTTCCAATTATTCCAAGGCACAAGGGAAGAACGTGCTATAATTAAGTACTAACTAGCATGCTACTATTCAGCATCTATTTTGAGGACTTTTGAATTATGAATCGGCAAAATTAAGGAATCTTTTTCTTCTTTATAAAATGAATCACATGTTTTATTCATTTCGCCAAACCTGTTCAGGACACATTGGAATCAAAAGCATTTGCTCTAATAATTCAGTGCAATGGTTTAATTAAAGCACTACATAATAATGATGTGAGCATCGGATAGGAAGGAGAAAGTGCCGAATGATTTGGCCATCTATGAAAAACTGTCACTTTCCAGAGACCTAATTTTCTTTACAGTATTTTGGGTCTTACGTGTTAGGAAGAGAAGGATCATAGATTCTCTCTTTCTTCTTAGCAGGTTTAGATGTTCAAGAGCCTCCAGTCCTTTTGCAAAGTGAATAGTTGGATGACAAATACAGACTGGACTGAAAAAAAATGTCCAATCTGGACTGAATCAGAATAAACTGGAGAGAAACATGAAGGGTTATTTTTTTTTTCCCTAGGCTAAATGGACAAACAAGCTAGCAAATTCATGTTCGCTTTCAAAAACCACATCTGACATTGAAATCTCAAATCTAAGCTATTTTTAGAAGACATATCACCACTGCTGTTTTTAAATTCCAGTGCTGCAGTGATAAACAGAAGGGGAGCGTAGAGGGTATTATGTCTTAAGAACACTTAAAACACGAAAACCCCTGCAGACAGGCCTCATTTCAGGGCAAATTATCAGACTGGGAGAGTGGAACGACAACTAGCAAATGTGCTGGCTCTGCCTGGCCGTGCTGCAGAAAGGCTCTGCATGGGACGGGCCCAGGAGAAAGCGTGCAACGTGCATTTTGCAACACAGCACAGCCTCCGCCTCTGCGTTTGTGGCGGTCAGTGGAGGACAAGACTCAGCATCTCCCCTGCACATTGCACCCTTGGTGAAAATAAGGCACACGCCAGCACGCTGGCTGCCTTCTCTCCTACTGTCTGTTTTATCACCCCAAAATCCACTTGTCCTCTGTCTGTCCTTGCACACTAAAGCAACCCAGGGCTCTGCTTAGTCCGCAGCCCCGGCCAGGACAAGACGCGTACAACGCAGGATGACTTTTGTCACATTAGAAGCATCCCCATGGGCTGTAACCAACCAGCTCTGGGTTCATCCCTCCCATCAGGAGGATTATTCTGCATTGGTCCGGTCCTGCAGGGAGCAAACCAGGAAAGCCAAGGCTGCAACTGGACTCCAACTAGCTTTGAGCATCAAGGACAATAAAAAGTCCTTTTTCAGACATGTGGGAAGCCAGAGGAAAAGCAAGGGCAACATTGGACCCCTGCTGAACCAGATGGGGCAACTGATGCCCAGGAAAAAGCCAACCTATTAAATGGGTACTTTGCATCGGTCTTTCATCAGTCTCATGGGACGCCCATGCCTGCTACGGGACAGGGAGGTCCGGGTAAGGGAGATCCCCTGCCCTCCATTAATGCTGACCTCGTGAAGGAACACCTTGAG